TATAGGAGGCGACTCATTTAGTTTATAAATCGATCTATACCTTATATCACTCTTTTACATAGGGTAAGAAATCCCTTTAAATGGGATTATCGTCGATAGTCGTCTTATTGTTATTGAAGCCATTCTAGTCTATATATCTCCTTTAGTCTATAGCTATCCTTTTTCTACCTATCTTTAATTATAGTATTGCTTGATAAGATCTTGGGCCGTAAGCTATAGAAGCAAGAATCTTAGAATGCCAAGGGGGATAAGAGAAACCGATCAGGGGATTTAAAGGTGTTAGAGAGCGGTTGCTAGTCTCTGGGGAAGATGTCACGAATTAAGCCAATAGAATAGCTGCAGGTGGGATGACCCGACGGGTGCCGCAGGACGCACCCGAACCAATCGTTTAGGACCAATGAAAAGGAGCTTTAGGGAGCTCTAGAGAGCAGGCGAGAGCTCAACGCACCAAGCCAATCAGCATGAAGGGATGGAAGCTCTCGATGGAGCCAACAGAGCACCAAGCTCTCGGGGGCTCTATAGAGCATATAAGAGCACCCAAAGATAGGCAGTATATAGTCACTCGTTCTGGAGGACTCTGGAAGTTCTCTAGTGAGCAATTACAAGTAATAGCCTCCACCTATTGTAAAGACATTGCGACTAGCATTGTTGTGAACCTTTTGGCTTCACTGAGACCTATAGTCCGACCAGCAGTACCTTCAACCGGCGAACCCTTTTAGAGGCAGGACTGCCTATGGTTTCGTCACAGAAGAGCATTGGATATAGTTGCAAGGCTAAAGATTAAACGGCCAATAGCAAAACTTAAGAGGGTAAAATTAGGCATATCTACTGAGCTTTTATCGGCAGCTCCTCGCCCTAGACTACCCGGCTGGGGAAACAAAAAAATTAACGCCCTACTACCTCGCGAAGAGTTTCCATCTAGATTTCCGTTGGACTCCATCCACTTATAGAGCACCGCCTTAACGTAACTTATAAGCGAGATGAACATATAAGCGAATTGAACACTTGCCACCATACTATAACAGTCAACTACAATTACAACATAACAACATTATGAACCTACTATAATTACATCAGAAACGGCTGAATCAGATGCTTCTGCAACCTCCTGACAAGTGCGGGCATTATGACTAGGCTTGCTGCATATACCATAGCACCGAACCTTCGTACGAGCCCCCCCTGTACTACCACCATCCGGCTGCATTTCTTGTGCCACCTCCCTAACTATAGCCTTTTGGTCTAGTAGATCCTTTGCATCTTCTACTGCAAGTGATCCTCCAAGCTGTATACGCGTTCTTTTGGCTCTTCGGCGCTTGCTTAGTGCCTCGTTGGCCTTGTAGAGCGAAGCATTCTCTGCCTGAAGGAGGGCTACCTGGTGTATTATAGCTATCGTACCCTTGGTAAGCTGGTCTATAGCTGCTAATATCGAAGTCGGGGAGCTATTTTGATGGTTGGCAATGCGAGTCTTGATGAGCGTTGACTGTGAGTTGGCTTCTTGGGAGTTGTATGGTGTCTGGAAGACCCAAGATTGTACAGTGCCTAGCCGTAAGGTTGGGGGTATTAGTGTACGAAGCTTGATATCTAGCTTCGAAAGTACCCTCTCTAGATCGTACGGTATAAGGCCAGCCCCTATAAAACCGCCCTGTATATTCCTCTTAGTGATAGAGGCAAAGAAGGCTATGCGAAAGGTATAAAGGAACTCGAGCTTGCTTATGTGGCTGATATATGCGCGCATTAAGTCCTCGATCTGGCGATCGTATACCTGCTTTAACGGCCCAAAACAGCTAACATTAAGTGGCTAGAGGAGGTAGGAGGAATATAGAGGCATGCAGAGCGTGATAATGTTGTTCTACTGGCTGTAGAGCTCGAACTCGGTTGAGTGGTGGCTTTCGTGGCCATCGAGGATCAACAACCGGTATTTACCCTTTATCCGAGGCGTTATATAGTAGTCGAAGTGCTTGATCCAATCAAGGCCTACTGTATTGGTAGTCTAGCCATTGTCGGTGATTGCAATGCGCTAGTCGGCCGGGAGGTTGCACTCGGTATACCAGTTGGCGAGGTAGTATTGCGCCGCTAAGATAATAAACAGAGGGATAGCCCAGCCAAGGGCATTGACGCCTTAGCTGATCCACTTCAACAAAGGCCGAAAGCAGTGGTCCGAACCACTACAACTAGCTAAACCCGGCCACCCTTATGACTATACTATAGTCAAACCAACGGCTTCAGCCCGGTTCCTAGGGGTCTGGCTTGACTGGAGGCTTTCTTGGAAGGCCCACGGAGCTAGCATAGCTACCAAGCTAAGAACCCAAGACTTTGCTCTATCAAGGATAGCAGCTAAGACCTGGGGCCCGGGGCTAATCAGGGCCAGAGAGGTCTACACTAAGTGCATTCGCAGTGCAATAGCCTATGGGGCATCCAGCTTCCACAAGCCTACAACACTCAACGGCTCACCACAAGGCCTAGCCAGAGACCTAGCAAAGGCCCAGAACCGAAGCCTACGCATCGTAGCCGGGGCCTATAAGGCTACCCCTATACGGAATCTCGAGACGGAAACTTGGATCCCTCCCCTAGACCTTTATCTTAATAAGAGGCTGGCCGACTTCGAAGACTAGCTCAACAAGCCTACCCTACAGGCCGGGCTAGGCCCGGAGGCCCCGAGGCGCCGACCAAAGGAAATCATCCAAGGGGCCTGCAACAGGCTCCAACGGAGGTTCCGGTCGCTACGGCGCCGGCCCTGGAGCCTAGAAAAGCCGACAGATGTCGAAAAGGCCTCGGCTACAGTGGCCGAATGGAACACCCAAGCTAAGGCTCTGGGCCCACCATTGGCTAAGACCCAGGAAGACTGGGCACTATTAAGAGCTTGGGAGGCTAGGTGGAATACCCAAGTCCAAGGACAGCCAACTAGGCTAGCCGACGAAGGCCTACCAATAGTCCTCTTCACGAACCAGAGCCTATAGAAACACCAAGGCCTTACAAAGGCTAAGAGCTCCCTACTAGTATAGGCTCGTACAGAGGCTATAGGCCTACGGGACTTCCTTTTCAAACAAAAGGCCCGTAACCAGCCTACCCCCTATTGCGAATGCGGGGAAGCTAGAGAGACAGTAGAGCATCTTGTGATTTGGTGCTCTATACCACCTATACCAAGAACTTGGCCTAGGCAACTAATACGCACTCACCGGGACCTTAGCCTTGTTCTACAGGGCCTAGGCTACCGGAACTGAAGACTTCTGAAGAAGGTACTGGGTTGGCTAATGGACTCGGGCCGGCTAGGGGAATATAGGCTCGCCCGGAACCTCGATGAGGAACTGGAAGCTAGAGAGCCCGGCTAACCACACCCGTGGCCACGGCTTAGCCGAGCTAGCACCCTACTAGCCGTTGGCCCAAGGCCTTCCCAAGGCCTTTTTCCTTACTTGCAGCAGCGTGTATCACTGAAACCATGTCTTTCCTATTACTTCCGACGAAGGTTTTTACCCGGCCTGAATGGTACGGTTTTTCCTTTGTATATAGCAGTAGAGGGTCCGGCGCGCCTTGTAAATAGCTAGGCATAGCGGAGTAGGAGAATATATATAATGCCCGCACTTGCCAGGAGGTTGCAGAAGCATCTAATTCACCTGTAATTATAGTTAGTTGATAGCTTTGTTGTTTTGTAATTGAGGATAATGTTTGTAGGGTAGTGGAGAGTGGGTCATTCGCTTGTCTGGGTCACTCGCTTATCATGTACGTTATTATATTTTATATATAGAATAGCGATAGTCGGTTCCTCTCCTACGGTTTTAAAGATAGTAGCAATCCTATAGGTGTCGAGAAATAAATCCGGCTAAAATTAGAAGCATATCGCATATATTTTTAGTCTATAGTGGTTCTAACAATAGAAGCGCGGGGATAACTAGCCCGGGCCTCCTAGAGGAAGAAGAAACCTAAGATCGCCCACTCTCGAATATGGCACCTTCGACTTGGTTAATCTGGACAAGAGGCTATCAAACATCTAGTCAATGCAGCGGCTAGAGTATATATCGAAGACACGGACTTCAATATCTTCGCCGAGGAGCCGGAACCGTCAGAAATGCGTATAATCTTCTCCTCCAACGAACGAAGGAGAAAGGACGTCGGAGACGCAAACCATTAATGACTCGGAAGCGGAGAACGAAGATGACAAAGTGCTAGGAGGACATTGCCAACTCCACGATCACCAATGTGTCGGGGATCCAGGGCAGACAATCTCCGAAGGCAGAAACGCGCTTACAATTGTGGAATACAGCCAATATACTATATACTAGTCTTACAGCGCTTAGAATCGTATGTTTTAGAGTTGGCGCGGGATTTATATTCGCGCCCCTTGGCGTAGCGAAGCAGGCACGGCCCGATCTATAGCCATTCTTCACTATCTGGTAGCCATTAGCCGAAGCGTAGGCTTGGATGGCTTGCTAGGCGACCTCCTCACTAGTATATACTCTCTTAGGCGGCGGGGGGGCTATAGGGGCGATTAGGCGCTTAGGACGACGATTATACTACCTCTATCCTACTTAAATAGCTTCTTCAGCTTTAGGAGCAGAATCAAGGGCGGGAATCATACTTAATCAACTTGGCGGCAGCAGGTTATTAGTAGTAGGAGATTGAAGCAGTAGCCGGCTACTGTGTATATCTTGGTGACTATGAGCCGACAGCTATCAGGGAATTTGCGATGTACTGCTGCAGGGTTGCGGGGACGCTAGCTCGAATTAGGTATAGCGGTGTGCTATATAGCTGTACTGGTGTGCGACCTAGACAGTCCCTTCAAAAAAGGCTGCCTCGTACGCTAATGTCGGAAGCGGGGTACGCAATCAATCATCCCCGACGACCAGTGTTGCCTGCAGAACCCATTTTAAGGCCGCTGTGCTGGCTCAAAGCCATCACCTTTATGATGGCTAGCCCCGAGCCGCAATCAGGGAGGGTGAGGTTTGATCCGTCTGTCCAATTTGAGAGACCTAAAGCTGCCCAACATTCTCCCAAAATCTTCCAGGATGACAACCGAGATCTTCAGGGAATTCCACTCCCCCGACATTCCAGACACAGTCCTCATCGAGGCCGCCCATCTCTTCAGTCACCACTACGGCACCTGGAACACACCTAGCGGCCGCCAAGGTGGCAAGAAAGGTACCATGTCTCTCACCGTCCTACAGACTCGGTCCAGCTGGCGATTCACAAGAGTTTTCGGTCGCATCTACCGCAGGTTTGCTGACCCAATCATCGCTCATCAGGCGATCATGTCAAACTGAGCGCGTCTCGGCTACGGAGCCAGTATCTGCCGACTGACGCCCGCTGGTCTTATGTCAGTGTTCATGTCGACGACACCCTTGCCGGAAATGCATTTGCCTGCCGGTGGGACTACCAAGGCCGGCAGGTCTGCTGGATAACCCAGCTTGTCGTCCACCGCGAGTATAGGGAGCGTCGACTCGCGACTCGCCTCCTCATGGCACTTCGGAGAGTCGAGGATCAGATCTTTGGCATCATGAGCTCCCATCCCGCGGGTTGCATTGCCACTGCCAAGGCATATGCTGGTGAGCTTACAGCCTTCTGTAGCACTTTGCTTTATCTATCACCGCCGCTTCTGACTCAAGTCACCAGACTTCTACTTTCCGCAACTCCCACTCGGTTTTATGCAGACTTGTGCGAGGGACATCATGGCCGGCTCGCCGATCGCCTACGTTCAGAATGCAGAGCAGCATCTCACGCCATGAGCCCGGGCCGGACCGCGGGGAGAAATTTAGCCAGCGGACGCTCCCGGGAAGGTCCGGCGGTGGCAGCAACGGCGGCGAGGAAAATTCGGCCGCGTCCTGCGTCTCTTGTTTGTCGTCGCCATTTTCTGCGTCTTGGGAGTCGTCCTGGGAGTCGGGGATGACGGCCAGCCGAGAAGGCACCACCGGCGCGCGTTCGGGGGGGGGCCGGATGACGAGAGGTTCCTTGAGGACTATACGCGTGCGAACGTCGCGGGCGAACCGCGCCAAGATGTGGTAGACAAGCAGGTCGCCGCCCGTCAGGAAGCCTTGGAGACCTTCGCCGGCCAAGGACGACATGCTGATCAAGGGGAACGAGTAGCGGCCTGTACACGAGTAGCCGAGCGTTATCCCCCCCTCACCGACGCTCCGCATCTCGACAAGCGCCCTCTCCACCGCCCTCTCCACGGTCCGGTACCACGAATGTGTCGTGACGTCCAGAATGGGCAGAGGCACAAGCGCCTCACCTATTCCGTGTGAGGTCCGCCGTAGAGTGTAGGTGAGGACGATGCTGTGGCCCGAGGCCACCTCGGTTTGCGAGACGTCGGTCGGGTTGAGGAAGGCGGCCCATTGGATATTGAGAGATCCGCTCTTCTCCGCCCAATTCAGCTCCAGCCTCTCGGTGTCGTTTTCGTCCTCTTGGCGGAGAAGTGTAAGCGAGCCCCCTTTATGTTCGTAGGGCAGACAAACGAGAAGACGACCAAAGTTTTGATCAGAGCGAGGCTCAGGACCACAATCCAGTGTTCTGGTGCGGCCCGAGCTGCATATCTACATAGTAAGGACCACGACTCCAATTAGCGAGAGTGCCACGTCCTTTGGATTGACGGGGTTTGGCCTACATCCAACGAGCTCAGAGAAGCTCTCACTTCCTTGTGCCTGGGAGAGCCGTAGCCTGGACACAAGAGCCGGCCAATTGCGTCCAGGATGCCGTAGTCGTACGGACTGAAATTGACAAGAAAATCGCTCACGCGGCCCTCATGGTGACCGCGAACCAAGTCCGCAAATTCCCTCTGCCCACCGTCGTCGAGAATAGGCAGCGAGATAGTGTGGCAGGTCGGCTTGTCGCCCAGATCCTCCCAGCGAATCGTGACGGAGGGGTAAGACCTACTCGTCGGGGAGGGCATGGAACTCTTCGGTCCAGACAGACTGTCGGGCTCAGCTGAACTGATGACGCCTCCAATGGCGAATACGGCTCGCCCCGGATAGAGAATGCCCCTAAAGCAGCACTTGTACTCCGCAGACATAATGCCATCCACTGACATGGGTGTTCCACAGGTGCTCATACCAGGAAGCACGAGGCGGTCGGTGTCCTGATGCTGTCTGGAGGCGATAAAGAGGATAATGGATGGGACGTGGGAGAACAGAGGAGGACGTTTGGAGAGTGCGATGAAGCCACTCGTCGCCCTTATATACTTCTTGGACCCCTGTCTGCGCCGTAGGCTAGTTTCTCTGTTCAGACCAGCAGCCCCTTAACCGCCAGGTAGTATCCGAACCGCCACAGTCCCCGAGACTCTCAGCCCCAGGTCCTTCCTTCGGCACTGATCATGCGACGAGGCTCGGCAATGATGTAACAGCCGCATCCCTATATCACTAAAGAGCGAGATCCTTGTTATAGCACGCCTTGTAGTATGCCTTATCACTACTCTACATCGAGGCGTTTCAAGCAATGCCAAACAAGATGGTTGTTTGTCATAGGGGTCATATATAGATACGTTGATCCCTTAGTTATCGTATACCGCCCCTAAGCTTATGGAGGACCATTTAGGGTTGCCTAAGAGAGGCCTCTCTAAACGAGCAAGACATAGGATGACACTAGGTTGGATAAGGCATTACAGTGAGGCTTGACCCCAGAAATGTATCTTGGCCCACACAGACTCATTACATCGAGTTAGATTCTAGACCACACACCCAAGGTAGACTTCCTGATTCAGAGCAAAAAGACGGACAGCCTGTGCCATAGGAGGCGCACGAGCTGGGGGGATATCGAGGGTAACCTCACTATTTCAACATCCCCCGCTTCCCACAACACCATCGAGGTGCCAGCCATACGGTCTCTAGATGCAGACACCACCCAGTTCATGCACAACCTCTCAGCAACGCCGTTATAAAAGGAGCGGAGGTTACCACGCATCTCGCAGCCTGGCGGAAAGCGGGTTGCATGGCCTTGGCGCTCTGGGAGCCGAGATCTTCCCTGTCCGAACTAGCGCAATTGGCGCTTTCTTGGACTTACCTTATGTAGCCTGGATTGAGTTGATTATCATCTTCATTCTTCCTCTGTCTTCAGACAGCGTGCGCCTCTCAGACCTTATGCAATAACTGTATGCTACCCCTGACTGGGGTTGACACCGGCAACCGAGCTTCCAAGTTTCACAGTACCACTACTTTCAAAGCCACCAGGTCACGTCGACGTCGACGAAATATACAGGCTGCCCGTCCATAACACCCTCGACCACCGTTGGAGTTGGAGTTGGAGAGAACCTTGGGCCCCGTAGCATTCGCTCGATCCGCTCCGCGCTGTCGTTCTCTTCCTCTCCCTCATCGCCAGATCCCAGGTCTCTTCTGGACGGTTCAGCGTCGCCCAGCCTCGCTGACAAGCCATTACCGGTCAGCTCACACACCAACACCCTCTGCGTCGGTCCTCTGCCTAATCTAACGCGGCAAATAAATTTTTGCATGCCCTGCGTCAAAAACAGACAGCGCTGCGCATCCCAGTGCCCCTCGGGCTTGAACGCGCCCACCGTCGCCGGCTTCATGTGTTTCCCTCGCAGCTTCTCTAGCACCTGCGACAGGTTAATAGCGTTGCGGATGCTGGTCCTCAGCATATCCGACCGCAACGCCGACACCGTCTTGCTAACATAAAATATACGGTACTTGTCCCTGTCCGACCGGTGCGCTTTGGACAGCTTGTCCGGCCTGACCCGTGTGTACACATCGCACCCGTGCTGCTGGAGGAAGATTCCCAAGTTCTGAAGCTCGTTGCGCCGGTGACACTGCAGGCTCATCACGTACGTGCCGTCCTCGCCGAGCCGCAGCCCGCCACCCGGAACGGGCGTCACGCGCAGGCCCTTGCTGGTCATAACACACTCGTTGTTGTGCATAGGGTCAACCCTTATCTCCATATCGACGCAGTCGGCGAACTCGAGCGGCGACGGGGCCAGGATGCCCCAGTGCGTCTGCCCCGCGGCCAGCTGGGCCTCCATGCGCCACGCGAAGAGCGTCAGATCGTTGGTCTCCTTGACGATCTCCTCCTGCAGCCGAATGAAGGCCTTGTCGCCCTCGCCGTAGAGCAGGGGAATGTGTACGCCGAAGATTCCCAGCAGGCAGTAGGCTGTGTCCTCGACGCGGGTGGTTTGGCGCGTGGCGGCCCACGACATGCGCTGTGCGACGGGCACGGTGGGGAGCAGGTCGGCGTTCTTGAGGACCTTGGCACAGATTCGCGTGATTTCCGATAGGACGGCTCTCAGCGACACTTTGTCCCCCTGGAACTCCCAGCTGCGGTTGTAGAACTCCACCCGGTGCGGCGCGATGAGTTCTTGCAGCGTCCAGCCGCGCGTGAACCAGCGGCAGTGTGCAAACCGGGCAACCTGCTGATCAAAGAGCGAGCCGTGTTCACTGACGGTGGACATAGTGTCTGCCACCTCAGAACCCCCCTGATCTACCGGTTTGTCTTCATCGGCCTGCGCATCTCCGCCGTCCTCCCCTTCGTCCACACCCTTCTTCCCCTGCGCCCCATCGCCCGCTTCCAAATCCGCCAACAAGGCAAAACACACCTTCGCCTGCAGATACCAGCGAAACATAGAGTTAATCGCCTCTGTCAGCTCGCTGCTACTGCTCTTGTCGATACAGCACGTGTCCACCCACGCCCAGTCGAGCCCCCGCGCCCGCGCCAGCGCACATGTTTGCGCGATCTTCGCGAAGCCTTTCTTCAAGGTGACTTCTCTATGGGGGAGGGTAGTGAATTGCTGGAAGGTGACTTCTTCTTCTTGTTCCCAGGTATGGGAGAGGATTGCGTAGGGCGGGGTTGAGGCTGCATTGTGGAATTCGGCCAGGGCGAGGGTGGAAGTGTTTATTAGGCGCATGTTGGTCGTGCGTGTGTCTGTGTCTGTGTTGTCGAGGGAAGGTTCATACCTCTCAGCTATTCATCCCCAGTCTCGGTTCACTGGATCAAGGAGGGTTCCCGTAGTAGAAGTTAGAGATCTGATATCCGTAGGCCGAAGCAACACGAGTGAGGAGCGCCGAGCCGAGAGCGGTTAGGCCAGCGTTACACAGCATGATCCTCACGTGTCGACAAATGCCCAACAGATCGATGTCCAATAGAATGATGCCCGAGAGATTGATGCCCGGCAGATATATTTAATACCAGTGAATACAGGGACGACGCGTATCGCCCGTTCGGCGGGATCCTGATTGTCATGTTCTTTGGCGGCTTCTTCCAGTTCGACCCAGTCCTATAGACCAGCCTCCTCTTGCCAACGCCCAGGCGCGGCGGCGGACAGAAGCGGGAGAGCTTGGCAAAGCACCTAGCAGCACATAAGCTGTTCCTCCAGTTCAAGCAAGGCGCTTGCGTCGGCGTCAAGCGATGCGGCGGTCCGGCTCTGGGACGCAGCGACCGGCGCGCACCGGCAGACGCTCGAGGGGCATGACGGTTGGGTCACGGCAGTAGCGTTAAGTTTTGATGAATTAGGCGGGTGAGCTGGAGCCATGCGCTCGAGAGTGCAGTATTCCTGCTAAGGATCAGGTATCTATCTACCTAGTACATGGAGATAAGGTCTCGCTGGCATTCACCCTGATGACATGTTCGGGCAGGACCTGGAACGCTTCGCTGAAGGGCTAACGCAGAGTTTCCGTCCGGCGTGGCTGCGTTTGGCAGGGCGGAAGGTACATATGTTGTGCAACAGCCGGGTCGTTTGCTCGTTTGCGTCTAACAGGACTAAGGCTTGAGGATTTGTTTGTGGGTCCGCGGCTTTTCCCTCTTTATTTCCCCCCAAGGTCATTTATCGTTGGTTGCGCTTCTCCCACGACAGCCAAAACGGACGAAAATCTGAAGCGTTTGGAAGTAAGGTTTGCCCTGGCGTCAAATCTATGTTTTCCCGAGGATCGCAAATGCTGACTCTTGCCTAGGAGTTTGGTGCCGAGATCAAAGATCCTTCTAAACGGTATAACGACGCCTGCCATGACCTCGACCGCGAACGGGTGGCTGGACGCCAGCTGCAAGAGCGCACCGACGAGCTCGCCCACAAGCTGGGAGAGTTGGAGGAGGCCACGGTCAGCGTGGCCATGGTGAACGGGGGTGGCGTGAACTCTGGTTGCTGACACGGGGTGCTCAGATGCGCGGCGCATTTGTGCTCGCGTTGGTCGACGCCGACAGCGACACGTACCTGGTGCGTCTGGTCCAACCGCTTTTCCATCGATATCTTCTCAGCTCAGCTAACTTGCGACCCTGATCCCAGTTTCACGACAAATACTACACGGGCGACACCGACAACTCGGGCGACGGTGGTGAGCGGGTGGCGGTTGACTTGAAGGCCGCCGTTCAGCAGTATCTCCGCTCGATCGACCCGGCCTTGATCGGCCTGCCCGTCGTTGCCAGGGCGTTTGCGTCTGGCGAAGGGCTTGCGATTCTGCTGGTAAAGGCGGGCATCGCCAAGGGACTTGAAGATGCCGCCCAAATTCTGTCACGGTTTGCACGCGGGTTTTCTCAAGTTGATGACACGTTCGACTTTGTTCTTGTTGGCAAGGGCAAAGATCGTGCCGACTACAAGGTGATGGGTCTGTGTACCCCAGTTTCTTCCCCAGTGTCGCTATCTTGACAGCCGACTGATACACATTTCCTCGGTAATTACAGGCGCCTTCCGTCAGTTTGTCGGAAGCCCCAGCTGCCCCAGCTGCCGGCAAATCTTGCTCGCCTGCTGCCACACAGTGGCTACTTCCGGATGCTCGAGAAGTACGTTCACAGCCCGGCGGTGGTGGGGAAAGTGACATTGGTCAAGTCGTTCCAGACCGGCAGCGAGTTTGAGGGTCTGCCGTTTCGATCGACGACCATGAATACCGTCTTCAGGAACAGTTCTCTTGGCCGTGGTGGCTGTGCATCGACTGCCAACGCAACAAACGCCAAACCTTGCCAGGGTTCAGTCGCAACCAACGAATCTCAGCGTCATCCCCTCACCATCTCCGCCGGCAACATATGCTTTTTACGCCGCCTTGCAGCCGGCCATTGCGCTCGCAGCGATCAACGGACAAGCCCTTCCGGTTTTCGGCACGCTGGACAAGAATGTGATCCTTGTCAACGCCGACGGCCACCGCATCGACATGCCGCTCCCGCCCAAATCCGCCGCGGTTGCTGATGCTCTAAAACGGAAGATCTATGTCGACGGCAAGAAATTTTGCCACATCTACCACCCTTACGGTTCTTGCATGGGCGGCTGCGGCTACGTCCACGGGCAGGTTTCGGCCGGCGAGAAGCTGGTCATGCGACACAAGATGCGGGGCCAAAAGTGCCATGACCGTGCTCAGTGCAGGGACCCGCTGTGTTTCTACGGCCACCACTGCGCTTGCCCGGGAGGGAAGAAGTGCGGCTTTCCCGTGGCGATGCATGGGGCAGCTGGCGCGGCCGGGAATGAAGACCGTATCGACGTGGTAGAGCGCCGGTTCCTTCCAGTCCTTGGCCTACGCCCAACGGGCGGGCGGCAAAGCAAAGGTCGGTCGCAAAATTGAACCGTGATTATGCTGCCGGGGAGGATCTTTACGGGCGCGTAATCGGCGGAACAGGAGTTGGATAGACTCACCGGAGGGTGGTGTTGCGCTTTGCAGTCGAACAGCGGCATTGTCGGCGGGGTGGGGCCAGCGGCGAGGCCACTCGGTGCCGCACATCAGCAGCCGGCAGCCTCAAGACGGCGAGGGGCAATTTCTTGCCTCCGATAGAGAGGTCACAACATAGCAGAAACTCTATATTTAGGACAAGATACGGTACTGTAACCTGAAACCAATCTGCGTTGGTCCGCGCTCACGATGTGGCCAAAGGTGGCAAAGCATGGTTGTCATTGGGCAGCAAGGCAGCTGCACGAGACGGCCACGGGTAGCGAACGGATTAGTGTCGGTCCCGCAAAGTGTCACAGCCCGCTGCGCGACGAGGCTCCGACCTTTCCGTTCCATCCCGGCATCGGCCGGATTTACTGCGGCTGAATGCGTGCTGACAATTGAATCAATTGCCTTGCAGCCGGGGTTTTGGTTCGCCTGCTACGAGCGGATTCAACCCATGCAAAGTGCTTTTGCAAGCCCCATCTTAGGCAAAGGTACGCCTTTTGATGCCTCCTATGACCGCCCTGTCTGGTTACTCGAGACCTTCCTTCTCCTCAGGTTGTCACAATCCTGGACCGCGTTATCTGCAACTCTTTTCGCTTTCTGCGCGCTTAATCCCATCTGTCGATATGGAGTCACCGACCGACCTGGGAGACCTGATGCGAATCCAACAGGCCAGTGACGAGGACTGGGAAACTGTCAGGGAGGTTATCACCCAGCTCTACTGGACCGAAAAGAGAGGGCTGCCTGAGGTAATGGAGATCATGGAGGCGAGGCATAACTTCCGCGCAAAGTATAGGCTGTCGCTGGCGACGGGAAAGGCTGCGTGCTGACTCGACGAGCAGGGAGAGACAGTACAAGGCACGATTCAAAGAGTGGAAGTTGGAAAAGAACATTGATTCGAAGAGAATGGAGGCGATCGTGCAGATACAGAAGAGGCGGCGGGAGCATGAAAACAAAGAGACCGAGTTCCGCTTTCGTGGGAGGCCACTGCCGCAGGAGAAGATCGACAGGTGGCAGAAGAGACGGAAGTCTGGCGAGGAGGTGGCGTCACCACACCGTCTCGCAGGTTTGTCATGGACCAGAAGCTCTTCGAGTCTTGGCTGACTGTACTGTTCCAGCTCCGACGCCCTCTGGAATCGAATACGGGACGCCGGCGTCTCCCATTGTCTCAGCCCCTTCCGCGCATTCGGCGCAAGGTCCACCCAGTCCCGGCGGCATGCCGGACCTTCTATCGGCTCCTAGTCCGGGAGGCCTTGTGTTCAACGCTTTCTCCCCGCCTGCGGAATGCAACCGGCCTATAAGCAGTGGTCAAGCTGCTGGTCAGCCGTTTGGCATGATCAATCCGTCCGGGCAGCAAGAGGCGTGGGCGGGGTATCCGCAGCTTGAGAGACCCAGCTCTAGGCCCTTGCCGCTACCATCATGGAATCTCGAGACGGATCTTTTCGGGCCGGTTCTAACCTGGGATGCGGGTGCGCAGAGCGGCCGTTTTTCAGACCAAGCACCGCAGATGCTTTTCGACAGGAAGTCCGATCCCGGCGCGCTCATCGTCTACGCAGCCCAGGCAGGTGAAAATCGTCTCTGCCCGGCCACGACAAACAACGCGGAGGTCCATGCGCCTCTCCAGGGCGATAACTCCATTGGTACAGATGAATGGACGGCGGCCGTCGGTTTCTTGCATAACGAAAGCGATCACATCGATGTCCGCGGCATGGAAACTGGCACAGGTTCCTTGTCGTCTGGCAGACGCCGTGTGGGCGATGGGCCCAGGTAAGTATGGTAGGCGTCGTTCTTCACGAGCCTCGCTGGCGGCTATGATAGAGCTGCGCCTAGACCAGGGACCGAACCTCGAAATCGCTGGCCATGCTCACGTCTTCAGGTCAAGCTTAAGGGGTCTACATTTAGGAGCGTGATCAAACTCAGAGACAAGAGGAAGAACACGCCAGTCAACATTGTCGACCTCATCGATGCGCGGCGGACAGGCAAGCGAGTGGAGGTATGGGACAACTTTGAAGAGTTCCGCGCCTATACCCTCCAGGATGAGAAGAGGATTGATCTCCGCGAAGCAAAGAAGCCCCCTGGGTATCTTGCTTCGTTGTTGCAGCACCTGTCAGGGCCTCATCACGTACAAAACGCAATGGTTCCTGGGGATCAAGGGTGGAGTCGGGGCGTGTCACCAAACGTAGGCTTTAATTAGATGCAAATTTACATTCGCCGGCTCTTTGCGCCCCGTCTCTAGCCTTCGAGAGCTCGGATGGAACCGTTGCCAAAGACACCGACCTTAACAACTGTCTCCATACGATGATCAAGGGCTCGAGACCTGCTTATGTGATAACGTACATTATCAGCGAGCGGGACATATCAGCGAGCGGGACACTAAGTTCTTGGCACAACGCGTCCTCCTCATCTACCTCTAACAACGCGTTTTTCCTACAACTAAAGATGTCTTCCACTTCAAAGGAAGCTAGGGTAACCTTGGCCCTTAAAGCTCTTGAAAATGATACAGAACTAAGCCTTCGAGCCGCGGCCAAGCTCTATAACGTGCCAGTTTCAACCCTCGGCTACCGACGTACCGGCCGGCCTATACAACCCGATCTTCCAGCCAATTCGAAGAAGCTTACCCAATCTAAAGAGGAGGCTATTATTCAATATATTATTGAGCTATCTATACGAGCTTTTCCACCAAGATTAAGTGGTGTAGAAGATATGGCCAACTAACTATTACACGTACGCGATGCGCCCCCTGTCGGCAAGCTCTAGGCGTATCGGTTTGTCAAACGCCAGCCAGAGCTCCGTATACGTTATTCGCGAAGATACGACTACCAGAGGGCAAAGTACGAGGATTCGAAGGTCATTGGCGAGTGGTTTGCTCTTGTATGGAACGTCAAGGCCAAGTATGGTATTGTAGATGACGATATCTATAACTTCGACGAGACTAGGTTTATAATAGGCATTATCTTCCCGGGCATGGTGGTTATAACCTCGGATGGCTATAGCAAGGCGAAGCTAGCCTAGCCTAGCAACCGCGAATGGGCGATAGTAATCCAAGGCGTCAATGCCCTTGCCTAGGCTATCCCTCCGTTCATCATCTTAGCGGCGTAGTACCACCTCGCCAACTGGTATACCGAGTATAACCTCCCGGCCGACTAGCGCATTACAGCCACCGACAATGGCTGGACTACCAATACGGTAGGCCTTGATTGGATCAAGCACTTCGACTACTATATAGCGCCTCGGACAAAGGGCAAATACCGGTTATTAATCCTCGATGGCCACGAAAGCCACTACTCAACCGAGTTCGAGCTCTACTGCCAGCAGAACAATATTATCACGCTCTGTATGCCTCCACATTCCTCCTATATCCTCTAGCCACTTGATGTTGGCTGCTTTAGGCCGTTGAAGCAGGCGTACGGTCGCTAGATCGAGGACTTGATATGCGTATGTATTAACTATATAAGTAAGCTCGAGTTTCTTTATGCCTTTCGTACGGCCTTCTTTGCCTCTATCACCAAGAGGAATATATAGGGTAGTTTTGCAGGGGCTGGCCTTGTGCCATATAATCTAGAGAGGGTGCTTTCGAAGCTAGATATTAAGCTTTATATACTAATACCCCTAACCTCACGGCCGAGCACTGTATAATCTTAGGTCTTCCAGACACTATACAACCCTCGAGAAGCTAAGTCATAGTCAACGCTTATTAAGACTCGTATTGCCAACTATTAAAATAGCTCCCCGACTTCAATGTTGGCTGCTGTAGACCAGCTTACTAAGGGTACGATAGCTATAATGCACCAGGTGGCCCTCCTTTAGGCAGAGGTATCTTCGCTCCGTAAGGCTAACGAGGCGCTAAGCAAGCGCCGGAGGGCTAAAAAAACACATGTGCGGCTTGGAGGATCACTTACTGTACAGGAGGAACAGGAGGTGGTAGGCCAGGGAGCTATAGGTGGAGAGGCAATGCAAGAAACACAGCTGGATGGTAGTGGTGCTGGGGGGGTCGTACGAAGGTTCGGTACTGTGGTATATGCGGCAAGCCTGGCCATAATGCCCGCACTTGCTAGGAGGGTGCAGAAGGGTCTGATTCATCTGTTTCTGATGTAATTGTAGTTGGTTCTTAGTGTTGTTGCATTGCAATTGAGAGTAGTTGTTATAGAGTAGTGGAGAGTGTCCCGCTCGCTGATATGTCCCGCTCGCTGATAATGTACGTTATATGCTCTATTAAGGACGTTCTCTCTGCTGCTAACTTACGCTATAGGATTCCAGGCGTGCGCTGCTTTTGTTTACGATTTGCTGAAGCATCCTACTATAGCTGGAACATTATAACGCCCTTTACTATAACATGCCTAAGAACTATACTGTCAAGTGGCCACTCCTCAACCTTTGCGACGGGTGCCTTTGTCTTATCTTTCGAAGCAGATGTCCCTAAAGATAGTGGGATAAAAAGGCCGTGCTGACTTCAGTGGTGCTTTAAGGGTTAAGCCTATGGCGGCTATAAGCCGGCGTAATATAGATATGTCTATAGCCTGGACGCTGTTTTATAAGTTATAGGAGTCGAAGAGCTTATCCTATAGTGTTTGTACAGTAGTTAGGTGGCAGTGTCATCCCGAGCCTACTTTATAGCGCCGTTTTCGATAGGACTGCTATCCTCTCTATCGATACCGCAATGCCAACAACGATTGATATTATGCTAAAGGTTAGGCCGGTCTTTGCTAGCAGATAAAGGTATAGGTAGCTTAGCATTAGGCAGGTTACAGCCCTATTTATTTTCGCTCTCATTATCTAATAGTCTATAACGTATCTTATAAGCGAGCGGGACATATAAGCGAGCGGGACATATAAGCGAGCGGGACATATAAGCGAGCGGGACATATAAGCGAGCGGGACACTCTCTACCACTCTACAACAACCATCCTCAATTGCAATACAATAAGACCATTAACCAACTACAATTACATCAGAAACAGCTGAATCAGACCCTTCTACAACCTCCTGGCACGTACGGGCATTATGGCCAGGCTTGCCGCACACACTACAGCACCGAACCTTCGTACGAGCCCCCCCTGCACCACCACTATCCGGCTCCTTTTCTTGCGCCATCTCCCCAACCACGGCCTTCTGGTCCAGTAGATCCTTTGCATCTTGTACCGCAAGCGATCCTCCAAGCTGCACGCGTGTTCTTTTGGCTCTCCGGCGCTTGCTGAGTGCTTCGTTGGCCTTGCGGAGCGAAGAGACCTCGGCGCGAAGAGCCATCTGGTGCATCATAGCCATTGTACCCTTGGCCAACTGGTCCACAGCAGCCAACATCGAGGTTGGGGAGCTATTTTGATGGTTGGCAATACAAGTCTTGATGAGTGTAGACTGCGCATTGGCTTCCCGAGAGTTGTATGGTGTCTGGAAGACCCAAGACTGTACAGTGCTAGGCCGTGAGGTTAGGGGTGTTAGTATACGAAGCTTGATATCCAGCTTAAAAAGTACCCTCTCTAGATCGTACAGCACAAGGCCAGCACCTATAAAGCCACCCTGTATATTCTTCTCCGTCATAGAGGCGAAGAAGGCCTTGCGGAAGGCATAGAGGAACTCGAGCTTGCTTATGTGGTTGATATGCATGCGTATCAAGTCCTCGACCTGGCGACCGTACACCTGCTTCAGCGGCCTAAAGCAGCCAACATCGAGTGGCTGGAGGAGGTGAGAGGAATGCAGAGGCATACAGAGTGTGATGATATAATGCTCCTGGCAGTAGAGCTCGAATTCAGTCGAGTAGTGGCTCTCGTGGCCGTCGATGATCAATAACCGATATTTGCCCTTTGTACGGGGTGCTATATAGAAGTCAAAGTGCTTGATCCAATCGAGGCCTACGGCATTGGTAGTCTAGCCGTTCTCGGTGGTCGCGATACGCCAGTCGGCCGGGAGGTTGCACTCTTGATACCAGTTGGCGAGGTAGTATTGCGCGGCCAAGATGATGAAGGGTGGGATAGCCCAGCCGAGGGCATTGACTCCCTGGATTACCATAGCCCACTCGCGGTTACTAGGCTAGGCCAGCTTTGCCTTACTACGGCCATCAGAGGTCGTAACTACCATGCCTGGGAAGATGATACCCATTATGAACCTAGTCTCGTCGAAGTTATAGATATTATCATCTACAATGCCGTACTTGGCCTTGACATTCTATACGAGCGCGAACCACTCGCCAATAACCTCTGGGTCCTCGCACTTGGCCCTCTGGTAGTCGTATCGACGTAACCAACGCGTACGGAGAGCGGGCTAGCGTTTAACGAAGTTATAAGCCCAGAGCTTGCCGACAGGGAGCGCGTTGCGTACGCGTAGCAGTTGGTTGGCTATATCTTCCACACCACGTAGCCTTGGTAGAAAAGCTCGCTCAGATAGCTCAGTTATATACTGGACTATAGCCTTCTCTTCTAGATCGGTAAGCTTCCATGAGTTGGCTAGAAGATCGCGTCGTATAGGCCGGCCGGTACGTCGGTAGCCGAGGGTTGAAACTGGCACGTTATAGAGCTTGGCCGCGGCTCGGAGGCTTAGTTTCGTATCATTTTCAAGAGCTTTGAGGGCCAAGGTTACCCTAGCCTCCTTTGAAGTGGAAGACATCTTTAGTTGTAGGAAAAACGCGTTGTTGGAGGTGGATGAAGAAGGACGTGTTATGCCAAGAACTTAGTGTCCCGCTCGCTTATATGTCCCGCTCGCTTATAAGATACGTTATATGCTTGTCTGATATTCCTGCCCTTATAGTGGTACGATAGAACCCTTTTCATTAGTCTGCTCTCATCTATAGTCTGGAAGCGGAGGATGATAGTATTTTGGGTCGCTCGTTCGATTGCTGCTGCCGTAGTGATTATTATACTATAAGAAGCAGCTGCTATTGGCTCCCTGCTATGTTTCAGGTCTATAGCTGGAGGAGGGATTGCGTGAAATATTGGACTAATGGAGTTTTACAGCCTTATATACGCTTTCCTGGGCACAGCTGGCCTATAGGCGCTGTTGTATCGCCTGAACTAAATATAGGAATCTCCTATCCCACTTGTCATTCGGAAGGCTTAGAGTGCTATCTCGATTAGACATTATTCTACATGCCTCTATAGAGGGGTAAGGATTAGGCCGCAATCTAAGACTATGCCCTTAGGCCATATTCCTAGCAGGGGATTTAGAGACTCTCCCGGGAATAGCCCGAACAGCCTTGTTATAAATAGTGCTGTTATAAGGGAGTGCCTGCCCTAGCTTACTGCCGGTATAGCCTGCCAAACCCAATTGGGTGTTGTTTGTATGCAAAGAGCTTAGGTTATATGCCTTATACTGTTAAGTTGATGCAAACTTCCTGTCTAGACCGAGTATACTGGTGGCTGATGACTTTTCTGTATCTTCAGCACTAACGCTAGGTAGGGTGTCGATATTCTTATCTGCTTGGGTGTTAGTATGATTAGTTTACCCCCCAGTAATAGTAAGTTAGGTATATACTAACTAATAGTAGGATAGTAACGTTGGGACGACCGTTATAGGGGATATAACAAACTGAGAATATATGCCTAGACTTACTATAAGGAGGGTAGTATACTTCCTACAGCGGCGGTAGATATAGAGGAGCTTTAAATATAGCTATAGAGAGGTCTGTATTTTGAACTGAGATACTAGGGTTTGCGAACGCTGGATGGTTAAGATAGACGGTCGCTATTATACTATAAGTAGATAGTGCAGTTGGTTCGCAGGAGTTTTAAGATACTTGAGTAGAAATTGTAGAGAGCAGAAGTCTATAGACAAGCATCTTGCTTTTCCGGACATAGGGAAATAAGCGAAATATATATATATGCATAGAAGGCCTCCAACTATAATAGCACCAAAGTGCTTGTCCCAATACTCTACTGCTACCTCTTCTTTCCTTGATCCTGCCTCCTTGCATTATAGCCAAGAGAGTCGATCTACTATTTCCTTAAGTCTTTGCTAATTATATAACTACCGAGACTGAAAGGAGACGCCTAAAAAGGGGAGGCCTTATAGACATTATATTGCCACGAACCCTAGAAAGCCTCTAACTATAATATTATCGACGTCCTAGTCCTAGTTTTCTACTGTCTCGTTCACCTTACCCTATCCTAGCGGCTAGGTAAGGAAAACATACTTCTATTATACTGCCTTATATTGTAGCTAAGACTATTCGGTCACCGGGTCCCTCGAACTTTCGCCAATCATACGATGGCCAAGGCGGAAAGGAAACGCCCGGAGAAGAGAGGCCTTAAGGAGATATTATGCCGCCATAGATTACGACTGTAACTTAATGCTGTATGATTTAAGGGGTCGCTGAAGGTTGACTAGAGTGGCTAAGCTGCAGATAAGCTTGCCGCTTCTAACCATTGTCTTGCTTCTAGAATAACCAGTAAGAAACAACCTCTCTCCAAGCTATCTTATATAGGCGGCTGCTCTATCTTGTTGTCTTCCTAGGTTTATACCTGCCTCGCCTTAGATTTAAATGAATATACGCTATATAGATAGGACTAGCTTACGTCCGAGGTCGTTATATAGGTAGTAGTATTGGCTAATTTCTTTATATAAACCCCTCGGTCCTTGTTTCCTCTTATGGTAGCTGAGCCCTAGCAGGCCTTATTTCGTCGAGTATTAGACTAGTATATTAACCTCCCTTAGGATTACTATAACTAATAAGGCAGACTTAGAAAGGAGTATCTAGGAAGGCAGAAACTGGTAAGGGCATTCTATAATCGAGCTACGCCGGTGATTGTCTGCCTTACGCCCTAAGTTAGTAGCAACAAGCTTTCGACTATAGTATATGCTTCCTACTTATACTATATGTGGTAGAGGGTCTTCGATTCCCTTGAACCCTATAGCTATAATGGCGAATCCGATTGGCGACGAAGGAAATAGGAGCAGCGACGCCTTGCTAGGCACTGACCTAGACGATAGCATTCATCTATAGATAACCTGGTTCTTATAGGCCTCGCCGCCTTATAGGTCTGGGCTATTTCTTGTTTTTCCCTCCCTGCTTGCCACCTTGCCTTCTATCCCCCAGGGCATATAATCTAGATATAGAGCTTTATTCCTATATGTCTCCGATACTAGCCTATATAGCCGACCCTCTATTATATAGTAAATGTCTATTATAGGCTATACCGCCAGTATAGTACCTCCGTGATACTATATATAAACGATACTCGAGCCCCCTGATCCTTTTATATCGTATACACTTGCTTTATATCGCTATGGCAAGGTATTTTTCTTGCGGTTTAGGTCGACCTAGAGATGCCGGAATCTAAGAGATTATCGGAATATATTCAGTTATAGAAGTAGTTACCATTTCATATACATTTAGGCAATGCTTTCGGTCTTTTACAATTCGGTTCTACTCGAGAAGTGTTTATACTCTAGCCCAATGCAACTAATAGCTCTCGTAGTTTAAACATCTATAGGATCGGGACTTGAGTAATGACAGATTACGTATTATAGGTAGTTTATACGGGACAAGGAAGGATCAGGGCGTGTCCAATAGCGGTCCCAGCAGTAGGGTCTGAGCAGTAACCCTATATGTATGGTTGGCTATTGGTTTTAGCGGTCCGCAGTCTCAAAGGGCAATTTTAGCCGGGCTTAGTCTGGCTTAGTTCCACCAGGCTCACTCTAGCTCAGCTCCACCAGGCTCACCTTTGCTCAGGTTAAAGCAGCGGCAGCTCAGGACAATGCACAACAACGGAAATCGCTGAGGGCAACTTTTGGGGAATGCATTGGGTTGTTATCCATGTCTTTGATTGGTTATAGTAAAATGAAGTAAATGGTTTCATGTCTCCCATAGAGCAGTTAAATAAGTCCGCTCGCTGTTAGGCATTCTATGATCCGTCGAGATCTACCATTAATCCAAGCTATTAATAGTAGGGGAAATATAAAATAGCATAGCATAGGATGCTTTCATGTCACTTCGGGTAGTAGTGTGATATGTGTATCATACTTCCGAGGGGGATGGTATAAATCACACATTTTCTACCACTCTCCAAAAATGGAAGCAAGCTACGAGCAGCGAGTAAGGTACTTATGTATAACAGCATCATCGCCTCTTCTTGGTCGCACTGGCTTTTCCGAGTTTCTCTTATTGTCCTTTGGCATTACCACGTCGGTAGCATCCTCGAAAATGAGATCGAAGTATAGGAGGGCTTGACTGCATCTCTGGAAGATCGCAGGGGTAGGTTATGGTGGCGTTGACGACAGCAACCGGTTGAAGCAAGGCTCGGTCATGCAACTCTAGTACTGAGGTAGCGGCGCTGGCGGGGCTCGGCGAGGAGACCTTTTCAGTTGGGCAAACATCCCCTGCCCGTTAAGCGGCCCTTGGAGCAGTCGACGCATTCACTGTTACTCTGTCGAGACCATCTGGATGAGACGGAGAGTCAACCCTTCTCTAAAGTAAAGACTATATTTGAGGCGCTGAGCCCTCGTTCTGAGATACGGTCCATCAGCGCATCCGTCACCGTGTCCGTCACGACCTCCTTGATCTCATCCTCTCGCTCAAGACAGTATTGGACATCGCCATCCAACCGCACAATATCCTCGCGCTGCTCTGCAACATCTAGTTCCAACTTGTCCACCTGACCATCCACACGACCGATCTCTGACCGCATGGCCGCCAGCTCAGCCTCATATTCATCGATCCGCTTCCGCTGCTCTTGGTTCTCGCTGGACAGCCTGCTGATTTGCCGGGCTTGAGCGTGGACTAGGGCCTCCAGAAGCGCCAGACGCTGCGAGATGGAGAGCTCCAGTGTCTGTGTTTTCTCGGAGGGACATAGCTTCGGGGGAGAAGCACGCAAGTCGGGCTTCTTCGTGGAAAGCTTTTCGATGCCGGTACTACTGCGCCGCCGCCGCTTTCCCTTCCGGACTTCAGACATTAATAGCCGCGGTTAGAAAAGCGCGTCCTCTGGCTAAATAAAGGAAATGGCTTACGTGTACTAGAAGTGGGTTTCACTGGTCGTGTTGCGGGGAGTTCGTGGTAAGGCGGCGGGACATCAGCATCCTCTTCGACATCTGGTGATGATGTCGCCGGACACGCAGGCTCAAGATCCCAAATCCGCCCTCCAGACCCGCCAAATGACTTAAACAACTCGGTATACGGTGGTAGCGCTTGCAAGCCACCGCCGCTGAGTAGCGCGGACAGACGCTGCAGATGTAAGCGGGGAGCCCGGTTGGTCGGCATGTACATGACGAGTTGTGTTGCTCGACCGAGAGATCGGATCGCGTCGAGCACTCGACCCGACGCGCGGTTTTTCGCAGGGAAGGATGGTACCATGCTGTGGGGAACGACGACTTGGACAGGTCCGCTCAGCGCCATGGACAAGCTTGCCAGCTGACCTGGCGACGACTCCCGAATGGCATCGGGGACGTCGACAGCAACGGCGAAGGTGCATGACTGAACGCGGGACGGATGGATGTGGATGTGGATAGGCGTGTGGGACGATACTCTCTTCAGCTTCACCGGAATGTGCAGCCGAAGGAAGACACCAATCGTTGGCCCGCCGACATGGCCATCTCGTGTCGCAGAAATGTCAGACTTGAAGATGATCTTTGCATCGGACGGATCGGGAGTCGTGAGGTGGCTTCGTTCTTCGCCACTCGGCGTTGGCTCAACCCACTCGAGGACAACGTGAGTGGTGAGCGATTGGGATGAGTCCTCGGGCATCGGTGACGACATAATTGGCGACGACGAAGTGCGGTATTGGCGACCTGCTCTAATCAGCACAGCGAGGAAGCATCCAACGACTTACTGGCTTGCAGACACGAATGAATAATTGATGGACCGACTTTCTGCTCGATAGCGGGTTTGGCATCACCATCGGAACAGCAACTGTGAGCAGTCAAGACGCAGGCTCGACGGGCGGCGATCTCACTCCTTCTCCTCGGAAACGAGCCAGAACCGAGAGAGATCCCTTCTCAGTGCCCTAGTCTTCCAAGAGTGGCGTCGCAGCGCGACCGCGACCCATGGGTAGAACCAGTAGATTGGCACTGAGCGCGAGGTACTGGTGCTTGCAACTGCGACTGTGGTGGAGAAGTGAAGCGAAGAGGATGCGGCTGGCGAGAGATTTGAAGTGGGCGCAGAATTCGGGAGGCTGGGAGGCTGGGTTGGGTGGGACGGTGCTTGGCACGTGACCGGATCAACATTGGTCCGGTCTGCGTAGCGGAGCGTCACCTGCCTAACGTTGTGCCGCAAACTCGCACCCGACTTGGAGAAAAGGACGATGATGGTATGATGTATTGATGAATCGATTCATCGAACAAAAAGTAGGGGCCCCAGGCCCAAGTGATGAAGATGTTCCTTGTTCTAGGCTTGGTTGAATGATGGATGTTCCATTCGGATTTCGGAAGCAGAAGTTGCAGGACCACGAGAAAACACAGCAGTGGGTGGCACCTGCCACCACTTGGCACTTTCGTTTGTCTCCACTGACGCGACTGCCTGCTTGCTTCGAGCAGCTCCTTTCTAAGTTCTTCACTTGGTTGTTATAGTTTTTGTTGTGTGAAAGAGACAAGGTAGCAAGGCCGCACCGAAAGGATATTCTCGGAGTAAGACACGCTCTTTCTAATGTTTGCTCTGCATTCAATTCTTTGCCAACATCACCATTCGCGAATCTCACCTCCGGGCCCGATAAACCCTGGCGAGATCCACGGTTTCTCATCCTTCGACAAGGCCCGCACCTGCTGCTCGTCAATCTCAACTCCCAACCCTGGTCCCGTCGGGATGGCCACGTAGCCGTCCTCAACTTTCCACACATCGGGATTCGTGATATAGCTCGTGATATCCTGCCCCGTGCTGTTGTAGTGGATGCCGAGGCTCATCTCTTGGATCGCGAAATTGGCACTGACAATGTCCACCTGGAAGTTCGCCGCCAACGCTATGGGTCCCAGCGGACAATGAGGCGCCAGGGCGACGTCGTACGTCTCCGCCATGACGGCGATGCGGCGCATCTCGGATATGCCTCCGACGTGGCTGATGTCCGGCTGCAGGACGTCCACGCACCCGGCCTCCAGGAACGGCCGCACGTCCCATCGGCTGTGAAGACGCTCTCCTAGTGCAATGGGGCAGGACGTGAGCTGGTGCAGGCTCTTGATTCCCGCGATGTGCTCTGAGAGGAGCGGCTCTTCGACGAAGAACGGAGAATGCGGCTCTAATGCCTTGACGAGCTGCTTCGCCATGGGGAGATGCACTCTGCCGTGGAAATCGATCCCGGCGTCCATACCAAGACTCTTCACCGTCTTGACGCGATCCACGCAGCTCTGCAGGGCTTCCGGGGAGTCCAGCCACCCCAGGTCTTCGGTCGCGTTCATCTTGACGGCATGGAATCCCTGTGCCTTCCTGGCGAGTCTGCTGTCACTGTCAGCGACCTTGCACTTGCGCATTAGCAGACAGAGTCAAAACTCGGGTGGTCCATACGCTTGAGCTTCAACATCTCCTGGACGGTCACCACCAATCCAAGCGTAGACCCTGAGCTTGTCCCTCAGCTTCCCGCCAAGGAGTTGGTAGATGGGAACCCCGAGCTTCCTTGCTGTTTATTGGGGTCGAGTCAGATACTCCCGAGAAAGATTGGCGCCAGAAGGAAACAGATCACGAATCCTATACAACACCTTTGAGGTCCCAGAGCGCAATATCAATGCCCGCCAATGCGCTCATGAAGACAGGTCCGCCGCGGTAAAAGCTTGTGCGCCAGGACATTTGCCAGATGTGCTCGATGTCGCTGAAGATACAGGTCAGGACCTCGGAGGACGTCCAACAAGGGAAAACGGCGCACGTACTCGGGATCCATCCCCTTGTACCGCTCAAACCACGCGTCCAAGCATCCCTCGACGGCCTGGGTGTGGCCCTCCAGGGAGGCCTCGCCCCAGCCGACATTCCCCAGCTCGTCCGTAATCTTCACAAAGAGCCAGCGCGGGGGGACGCGGAAATACTCCATAGAAGCGATCCTGCCCATGATGCTCTGTTGTTAACAGCGACCTGTAGCGTGGTGTCTCTTGAATTGCCCAGAGGAAACTACTTGTTTGGCGGCGAACGAGATGGAATTTGAACATGATGGTTGATCGCCCATGACCCATCTCACTCCAAGACAGGAAACAGGGTGCCATGAGGGGTCGAGTGGGGAAATACAACTGCTACATGTACATTCACAGAGAGCACCACCTTACGAATACATAGTGCCTTTTACACGGGGTGCCAAACACCCTGTTACACTGCTACTAATCATCCGATTGGATGCGCGATAACCATGTCCCGCTCCGCAACAGGTACTAATGAGGCCTCGCGCCCCATCGGCGATGGTACATACGCCATTGCCGACATACACTCAGGAACAGCAGGATTCCCTTGGATCGATCTCGTCGAGGACTCGGGTAAAATTTGCCGTCTGCATACTGGCTGCTCATGAGAAGTATCATAGCAAGGTTCTCTATGCCGCCCCTTGCATGCATTCCCTCGACGAGGTGGCTCAGATGGCCGGCAAGGAACGGTCAAGTAAGTCGGACCCCCCCGATTCCGAACACCCCACATTCCGAACACTTTGTAAGCCCACACCGCTTTTTCGACCCCCTCAGTTCAACTTACCACAACTCAGTCAATTCTAAGTTAAATCACTTCATATTTTGGGCAATAGTATCGTCAGTTTACGATGGCTTACTCGGAACAAGATTTACAAGATGCGGTTGCTAAGTACCGTCGCGGTGGCTATTTAGCGCGAAGCATCAGCCGGGAATTCGGCATCCCAATGACTACCTTATACGACCGCCTCCACGGCTCGCAGACCCATTCTATTGCCGCCGAACCGTAACAGACTCTTAGCCGGGTACAGGAAGATCATCTTACCCGATGGGTCTTGACCCAGGCCGCTCTCGGTGTTCCACCAACCCATACCCAGATCAGGGAGTTCACCAGCCGAGTTCTATAGGCACAGGGAGCCACCCGTATAACCATTGGAAAGGGCTGGATAACCCGGTTTCTTCGTAGAAACCCGGTTATCCGAACCCAGAGAGGCCGTAAGATCGACTCAGCTCGTATCAACGGCGCCACTAACGCGGTTATCCGTAGCTGGTTTCTATAATTAAAGATCCTAGCTATCAAGGACATCTTACCTGCCAACCGCTGGAACTTTGACGAATTCGGCCTTATGGAAGGTCAGGGTATCAACGGCTTGGTAGTTGGAAGTGCCCATACACGCGTAGTGCAACGGAAAGTCCCTGGTTCGCATGCCTGGACCTCCTTCTTGGAGTGCGTCTCCGATAGGGGTATCACTCCCACCAGCTGTCATTTTCAGGGGCAAGAGCATTTAATAGCAGTGGTTCCCTATCGCCAAGGACGAACTGAAGGACTGGCTATTCACTGCAACCGATAAAGGCTAGGTGAATAGGGTAATTGCGTTGGAATGGCTGCAATAGGTCTTCATCCCTCGGACCCAGCCGCAGGATCCCTCCCAGAGGCGGCTGTTAATACTGGACGGTTATGGCAGCTATACAACCACTGAATTTATATGGGAGTGCTTTAACAACAATATCCAACTACTCTTTGTACCAGCCTATACCTCCTACGTTCTCTAGACGTTGGATTTATCAGTGTTCTCTCCCCTCAATCACACCTACTACAAGCTCCTCAATCGTTTGACTAGCTGGTCAGAATATACTGCATTGGGCAAGCAGTTGATGTTAAAGTGCCTTGTCCAGGCTCGTAGGGAGTCAATTATAGCTCATAACATCAAAGCTGGGTGGAAGGCATCTGGGTTATAGCCTCTTAGTATAGCCAAACCACTGATGAGCTCTCTCTTGCTGGAAAATTCGAACCGGGCGCCTGACGAAGATGATCTACTACGCCTACTACAGACCCCAGCTCCTACGCTACCTGGCCATCCCACTACTACGGCTAAGGAGGTCGAATTTCAGACTCCACGCAAGAAGGTAGACCTTCGGGATCACCTAACCAACCTGGCCATCCGGCGGCAAGATCTTTCTACGCGACGGCTTCTATTCAAGAAGGTTGAGAAGGCTTTTGATGAGAAGGATTTCCAATTGGCTCGCTTGCAACAGGAAAACGAGGCTCTGAAAGTCCAGTTGGAGGCAGCCCGGCCGTCGAGAAGGAGGAGGGTAGTCCCGGATCCGAATAAGCAGTTCGCTTCCATTGAACAGGTACACCGGGCTCAAATTGAGGCTGGTCGTCTTGAAGAGTCTGGCATTAAAGAGAGCGGGTCAGAAAGCTCCGACTCAGATGCTTCCTGTATTGTGGTGGGTTGATGATGTTGTAATGTAGTAGGTTGAAGAAGATGGGCGGTTCAGATGCCAAGGCTTACAAAGTGTTCGGAATGTGGGGTGTTCGGAATGGGGGGGGTCCGACTTACAGCATGATACCCGAGGAGAAGGAGAAGTACCGCGGCTTCCTGCCCTTGGCGGCGGCGGATTCCATTGTCAACATCATTGTTTTTGTATATTTTGTATATCCGGGACTCTGGCGCCTATGGCGTCGAGACCAAGGAGCGCGTCAAGTGATCAGCTGAGCAGGCATTGGGCAGGCTATCCAGGATGGATGAAATGTCGACAACTGTCAAGCTCGCCTGACGTCTAGATTCAGAGCCGGGCGTGGATACGCAAAGGCAGATGAGGTAGCCATTATCAATGGAGTCCTCGATTGGCATTCTGACCGCTACTAGTACGGAGTAACCTGCATGTGAAAGAGTCACAGAGTGATGGGAGTAGCGCCGCTGTGGAGCAGCCGCGCAAGCTCTGGAGTCGAGGGCAATATTGATATATGGAGGGAGACAACTTGGGAGTCTTCTTGAATCGAGGTGGCGACCTGACGAGTATGGACTACCGTGAGATGGATGCGGATGAAGCAACCCATAACTTGAAGTTTAAAGATTACTATGCCACAACGTGCCACGCAAGCACGCCGCGGGCTCGGCAGAGCCGCGCCCCCTTCAGCTCGACTCTTCGGGCCAGTTGCAACAAACATCGATCTGGCTGTGCCGCCATCGCCCTTGGCATACACACGACTATATGCCGTCCTCCTCCCTCACTGGACGCGGACTTGGCATAACCACCCAAATACGGTCCCCTTTCCTTGGCTACTTGGCCAGGTCAACTGAAGCCAGACTAGTGCCGTGCTCTGTGCCGCTCGGTTGTTCTTTTGCAACGTCTCGCTTGCTACAGGATGTCCTCACACTCTCAATCCTCCAAAGGCTCCGGGATTGAGGGCGACCTGTCCAATTATCTGACCCTGTCGGATCTTCACTGCTCCAGCACGTTGCCCAAACAACGGCCTTCATATGAACCGTCCGACTTGGGCTTACCTATTTTTAATTCTGAGGATCTCAGTATCGTTTGCATCGCGTCGCCCGAAGCTGCGGACCGCCTAGCCATGGGCGTAGTGGTTCCCCGGCGAGGCATGCCCGTTGGTGTCCATAGAGGACGTGATCCAAGTAGGTACCTGAGGATGCATTAGCCGGCACAGGTGACCATGGATAGCTGGATGGAATCCTTACTCCGAAGCTAGATGGTCGATAGTTTGCGTGTATCGATAAAAGTACCAGTATTTATCGTACCGCCAACCCCCGAGTCTGTTGTATTCTCCACCCGATCATCAGCTTGACTTCACCCTTGAACCCATTCTTACCACATCCGTAGCCGGCTTTACGAATCTGCGTCTCACCTCTTGTTTTGTTCCGACTTCGTTTTCGCAAACTTCAATCTCATACACGCGGCTCACACGCACCCGCCACCATGCCATCGGTTGAGCGTAACAGCCTCTACCTGACGCTCGACTACATTCTCAATAATGGGGTCGAGAACAAATACGTAAGTCGGCTATCGCCTTTGAGCAGCAGAAGCGGCAGTCTTCGTTCCTAACTGCCCTGCTTTCATCACAGCGCTGGGGCCTCTGGGTAGGGAACACCCTGCACCAAGCTACAAACGTCGTCGTCGACGACAAAGCCAGACGCATCGTCAACCATTACTCTTACCAGAAGCAGTCAATCAGCGACCCGACCTCGTCCAGAACAAGGGTGGTGATCCTCAAGGTTTGCGACTTGTCGGCCCCGGCGGTCAGCGGAATGGGTCATAGCATTCTCGAGGTTGAGCCTTTTGCCAACAACGGGCAGCCTCCTGCCCGAGAGTACCAGTGTAAGCTACACCCATGTGCTCCTTGATACACCTTTGCGGCCGTCTCGGAGTCACCTTTTGCTCCCCAGACGATATAGCTGCTTCACACGGTCACACCCTCCGTTCCCTTGAAACAGGAATTGACGGCTGACATTGTCTGCCGAATCACTAGGGACCAGTCGCGTCTGGGTCAAGTACGTCCTCAATAAGCTTAAAAACAGACGGTTAATTCAGCTTCCCTCCGACACTGGTAAGTGCTGCCTCCCACAACCAATACTATTAATTGCACAACGGGTTCAGCCTAGGCTAACGGTGCCAAGACACGATCGAGGAACAGGCCCTGCTCACGGCCAATCTCAATATCAATTACAAGGGCAGCGGCGGCAAGGTGTTTAACGATCATAGCTGGCTGTCGGATGCTGTTGGAGTACGCGGAGGTCAGAGGCATAGATAGAAGTGGTTTGAATTCGTAGTGTTGAGACGAAGACTTAGATGTGCCCAGCTAAGCCACCGGAGTCGCTTATATGTGAGAGGGCTTGAAAGCCACAGTAGGCACAAAGACCACAAAGGTCTTGGTAGTCCAACACAGTCATCGAGCGTGGTTTTGTTGTCACGTCGCTGCAGCTCTTCCTGGCACTGGCGCCGTGATGGCCACCTCTGTCAACCGCGCCTTCTCCACGACGACCAACAGCGTGGGCTGGAAGACCATGTCGCTGCAGTGGCTGCGCACCTTCGCAACAATGCAGCTTTAAAACGAGATACTCAAGGACACGGAAGAGCGCACAATCTATTCGACCCGCGTGCCCTTGGGCATTGTCGCTGCCATTGTCCCTTGGAACTGGCCCATCCTACTCGGCGTGGGCAAGGTTGGTCCGGCTTTGATGACGGGCAACACCATCACCATGAAGCCGTCACCCTACACGCCATACTGCAAGCTGGAGCTCGGTGAGCTCGCCATGTCTATCTTCCCTCCGGGGGTATTCCAGGTTCTGAGCGGAGACGGCAACCTTGGCCCTTGGATGACGGAGCACCCTGATATCAACATGATCAGCTTTACCGGCTCGATCCCCACAGGTAAGAAGGTCGCCGCGAGCTGTGCAAAGTCCCTGAAGCGCTACGTATTCGAGCTGGACGGCAACGATGCCGCCATTGTGTGTGACGACGTGGACATTGAGACGTGTCTCCCCAAGATCACCACGCTCGCTTTCCTCAACTCGGGCCAGATCTGCATGTTGTGCAAGCGCATCTACGTTCGCGAGAAGATCTAGGACGAGTTCCGCGACGCCATGGTCGAGTTTACCAAGAGGAATATCAAGACGGGCGGCGGCTTCGAGCCGGATGTGGTAGTTGGTCCTTTGCAGAATCCCATGCAGTAAGTCTCGTAATACCTTCACACGCCACCCCCGGAATCTGGTTAGTTACATCTCTCTCTAATTATTACTTCCTAGATATGAGATTGTCAAGGACATGTACGCACAAATTGAGAAGAGTGGCTGGAAGGTAGTGCTGAAGGGGAAGGTGCGCGAGACATCCAAGGGCTACTTCATCGAGCCGGCCATCATCGACAACCCACCCGAGGACTCGCGGATCGTCGTGGAGGAACGCTTTGGTCCGATTGTCCCGCTGCTGAAGTGGTCATCCGAGGAGGACGTCGTCCACCGCGCCAATGCCCTCGAGACGGGGCTGGGAACTTCGATATGGAGCAGGGACCTGGTCCGCGCCGAGAGGATGGCGCACCAGATCAACGCCGGCAGCGTCTGTGTCAACTCGCACTTTGACGTGACGCCGAATGTGCCGTTTGGCGGACATAAGGGGAGCGGAATTGGTATGGAATGGGGTCTTGAGGGGTTCCGGCATTTCACCAACTCGAGAAGCATCTGGGTGTGGAAGAAGGTGTTTAGCTAGGATCACACTTTGTTGACCGAGTTCAGTTTCGCTTTGAGGACCACTCGTAAGGAGGGTGAACTAGGCATGGCGGGTTGGGCTTCGGGTTCTGGCTTCTCAGTGACAATCATGTATCTGGTGAAATATAAAGCCGCTGTCCACCCTGCTGATTGGGGTTTCTAGGGCTGTTCGGCAAGCTTTCTTATGTATTTCCTCTACGAAGAAAGCCCGTCCGCTGGGAACATCAATGCTTACACAATCGTCGTTCTAACTCCAGGCTCCAACCACATCACCTTATCCATCACCCCACCTACCTCTAACGCCTGCCTGAGGTCCGACTTTTCCTCAGCAAAATGTCGCCAAGACTCAAAGTGCATCGGCACGAGCACGTCCGCCCCAAGCTCGCGGAACAAACGCGCCGCCTGCGCCCCGTCCAGAGTAATCTGCAGCGGGCCAGTTGGCAACGGGGCGGTCGCTTTGCCGGTGTTGAGCAGCGCGACTGAGATGTCTATATCATATTTCATATAATTGTCAGCAAGTGCCATCCTTTTTTTTTTCCCCTGGTCCTAAGGTGGTGAAACTAGTACTAACGGAACCGCTCGCGCATTTTAACGAGCTCGGGCAGGTAGATGGTGTCACCCGAGAAATAAATGGCATTCGGCTTGCCGTCGGTCTTGCCGAAGGAGGGCGCTGTGATGATGAACCCCGTCACCTCGCCGCCAGGGAGGTGCTCAGGGTTAGGGTTAGGGTTAGGGTTAGGGTTAGGGTTAGGGTTAGGGTTAGGGTTAGGGTTAGGGTTAGGGTTAGGGTTAGGGTTAGGTTAGTTAGGGTTA